AATGATGAAATTGAAAATAATATTGAAAAAAAAGGTGAAAATTTGGGTTTGATAATATTTTTGAAAGAAAAATCGAAAACTATAGATTAAAACATAATTTAAAAAAGTTGTGTCATGTAGGACGCCCAGTCAGCAGCCCAGACGAACCAAAATGGGCCACGTGGCAAGGGACGCTGATGCAGTACCACACGAGAGGCCATGCTGGCGATATGCGTTCCCACGATTGGACGGCCCAGATTCACTTCTGCACGTACGGATGACCTGGATACGTTCCCTCTCCAGATGCGATCATATGATTAGATTTAAACACGATTAACATTCTAAATTCACTTCCTATTTAAATGCGATCGGACGGTCCAGATCAAATCGTGATGAATGGTCTAGATTAACTCTCTACTTAATCACGATCGGACGGTTCAGATCAAACGCGATGGACGGTATAGATTAAAAGAGGACGGATATAAATAACTATATTCACACCAGACCCTAACCCTAGTCGCCAAACACCCTCGCCAAAGAAGAAGAGCCAGCCGTCGGGAAGGAAGCCGCCCACCATCGCGCTGGAACCATTTTTGACCGCCAAAAGAGGTAAAAAAAAATTTCTTTACTCGGAATTCAATTTTAGACACCCCTATGACCAGATTGGAGCAAAATGATCAACATATTAGTTGGAAACTGCGGGCAAAGTCCGACGACGACGCCGCGAGAAATTGTAAAAATTGCCTCTAATGAGGTCCTTCTCGATTTTCGTTCTGTATAATTCTTCCACCATTGTAATCACCATTTCATTCTCTACAGATTGACCAAAACAAAACACCCAACTGCAAATGTGATTAGGTGGAGCTGTCGCACCGGAGAGTTTCGATTTTTCATTTTTTTTCCATCCAATCGATACCCTTTAACGTGTTTTCTCATATGGATTAATACAAAACTGGCCGAAAACAACCGACCCGAGGCAAACCACCGTCGCCAGAGCACGACGGAGCCACCGTACCAGAATTGGCCAAAAAAGGGTCTTGATACTGATTTTGGGTTTTTTGGATATTTGTAAGTACTTGTATAACGTTTTAATCCCCGAATAAAATTTGAGAGAATCCGGCGACTGCCAGTAGGCACAGTCAACAAGTTTAACATTTCAGATATCAATTTGAGTAATAATCCCTCATCTTGTTCTCTGTTATGGAATTGAAATCTAATTAATAATAATAATACGGTATTTTGTGCAATTTATAAAATATCCATAATTAATTACAAGTTACTGATTGAGCTAGAACCGAAAGTTATTCACTATTGATTCTGTTGATTTATTTTACAGTTTGAATGCATAATAATACATGATTGATTGATTTTATAGTTTGAATGCATGTATTATTTGCTTTATGTGATTATGATTGAATTGAGAAGTTGGAAATTAAAGATAAATGAAAAATGGTTTGATTGAGTGAATTGACGAAATAACATCTTTACTAGATATACTGGAAGATGATGGACGGACCGAGTACATAAGAAACTATACCGTGAATGTTACCTCATACCGGACGGAGTATCGAGATTTAATAATTTGGTACTCATACCGAATGAGATATGGAGATGACCCGTTAATTGAAAATATTAAAAGAAATAGTTAACGCATTGTGGAGACATCCATATGAACCCCAATGGATACCAGTAGGCTGATAAAAGAGAAAATTGTTGTTCAAATCGATTGTATATGAAATTATAAAATATGATATGTCATTGCTTCTATAGGTTGTTTTTGTAAATTTCGTTACGGTAAGTAAACAGTAAATAATTTTATTTATGATAAACGATTTTATTAAATTAAGAGCTCAATTAGTTGTTTTTATTATTTATAACAACATTCATTTATGTGTCGGTGAGTAGTGTGATATTATTGCTGGATTAGTGTAGCTCACTCATTTATTAACCATTTCATATCAAAAATATCATGATCCATAGCCCGATCCACAAAATCATTGTGAGTAGGATGCCAGTTTTATTTATTTTTCGGTTATTTTTTTAATTTTTCGTATTTTTCTCAAAATGGTTATTTTTGTAACTCTATTGGATACTTTAAGTCATTGTGTAAGGAATGTAAACCCAAACTATTTATTTTGTTTTTGTATTTAATTTATAATTTATTTTCTTTAAAATTTTTGAAATCATTATAATGTAGATGTTTAAATTGAAAAATCAAATAGTATAATTACTCGTATGATATTTTGGCCTTATTTTTTACTCTTTCGTTTTAGTTAATTTAAATTGCATAGTCAACAAAAGTAATTGAAAAAAAAAAGCCATGTTTTTTTTTGTGAGATTAGTGATTTGATAATAAAATAATATATTTTTAAATATATATATCCTTTTTTAGTTAATAAATTATTCCAACTAAAAAAATATATTCATTATATAATATTCTTTTTGCTCATATACGTTATAACTCGCTATAATTATTATAACTATATTAGTACATTAATGAATTAAGTTACATTAAATTTTTTGTAGCTAATATTACATTAAATTCATGCAGCAATCGTAATATTTATATTTTATTAGCATAAAAATTAATTTTAATACAAACAAATTTTTAAAGGTCAAATTATAATATATATCATAATCGATTAATAAAATGTTATAATTTAATGTTAATTAATGATAACACATATAAGAAATTGCATATTTTCATACCACTTTAAGTTTTTTTAATAATTATTTTAATATATTATTCAATGTCATAAAAAATATTAATTATTATTTAATTACATAATTAGTATTAATTTTTTAGCGAATTGAACTATTATTATTTATAAATTATTTTTATTGTATTATTACTATTATATTTGTATAATTTAATTAATAAATAAAATATTTTTTTAAAATAAAATTGTAAAATAATTATATATGTTGTCAATTATGTCCAAATCACATAGTAACAATGAAGACAAAAGGCAAAAGGCGATTGAAGTAATTTTAAATATCCCCAAATCACATTACCACAAATCCATAATGCAGGGGTAAAACCGGTATTTCATGTTCAATTCGACAAGATAAAATATTTCAAAAAGAAAATTAAATTACAATAAAGATTTCCTTAAAGAGAAGGTTACCCGTTACCGTTTACCACATGTCGACGTCTATACGCCCCGTTTTGATCAACCTCGAGTTTTGAAATGCTCAAACTGGCATTGATTGACACGTGTCAGTTACCATCTGTTCACTTAAATCAGTTTTTGAACTTTTTAACCGAACTGTACTTCGTTCGAGTAACGTGGTTGTGCCACGTTATTCCATTGATTTATTATTCTACCTCTGTTTGGCTGCGGTTTCGTTAAATCCGGTTTACCATTTTAGACGGGATTGGTGTTGTTTTATTCCCGTTTAGATTAATTATTTGACATGAAAATCTAAGAGCTGATACAGTAATGATTATGCCTCCTTTAACAACCAAACAAAATTTTCAAGAAACAGAATTCCCCCGACAGGTTCAATGGGGGTGGTTATGGGCCTTTCAGGATTCGGCCCAGAACAAATAATAATTATTTATTAATCCAATATAGCTTAAGAATAATTAAATAATTAATCCACTAAAATATTGGCTAAGTAATTAATTATGAAGTATTTTTATCAAATTACTCAAATAGTTTGACAATTATTACAATTTAATTATTAATTATTTCAAAATAAATAATTTAAATTATCGTGTAAATTTTATGGTATTCAAATTTTAAATATTTTTAATAAATTTTTAAAAATTTATAAATACTTACATTTTAAACACCACCGAATATAATTGTTGAAAAGATGACACGTGAACAAATACGTATTAATTATTATTTATTAATTATAAAGCTTCTGTCATAAATATATATCGCTTTATGTAATAGATTTGTTAATTTTATAATTATTAAAGATCAATTTATAGTACTTTTGTATATTTCACTCGTTAATCTTTATTATAAAATTCATATACATCGTATAGCACAGTTATATTAAAATTTAATATTAATACATTATTATTTGATTTAACTAATTACCTCACATAAATTTTTATCCATAACGATTATATTAAACTATTTATTTTAAATTTTATAAAACTCGTAATTTACTGTCGAAATATTAGCAACTAAAGTTGTCAAAAATATTAAGATTATTTATGCATTCCATCTAATATTGCTCGTCTCTATATTTAATAATAAGCATAGCCTTTGTAAATTGTAATTGATCGTGAAGAGACATGTTTGTATCATGTTTTACTAATTACTTATTTAGTAACAAATGTTACACTACACTATTTAGTTATATAATTTTTTTTAACATAAAATACATTAAATTATATTATCTTATATGCTTAGTATAAATATAAATATCATAAGTTTAGATTGAATTCGAAAATTAAAATAAACTTGATATATAAATTAAATAAAATTAAATAAGAATTTGTCATTGATACTAATATTTAAATTGGATTTTTTTAATATTTAATAACATTTTAGTTTTTACGAGTTGTTTAAATTTAAATTTTGTGAATTTATAAGAATGATATATTTAGCTAAAATAGTATATATATATATACATATATATATTTATTTATTTATCAAGAGATAGACCCTATTCGAGAGTGGATGAATTTAATGAATCGTGGAAAATCTTTGACTTCATTTGATCAATAAAATTTAGTTGAATAGTTAGTATCTATATATATATATATTATAATAATATTAATTTGAATTAAATTATATATTATATATATTTATTAAGAAATTAATTATATTATTTTTATTATTAAAAAATTAATTATGTTATTATTAATATACAAGAAAAAATAATTATATTTTGACTAATTATAAAAAATGTATATTTCTTATAAAAAAAATTATGAAGTTCGTTTTAAAAAATTTCAAACGCACTTGGAATCATAGCGTACATGGCTTGACAAGTCATACCTTCGCCCCGCCAAATGTCAAGCCCCAGACAAAAAACAACCGTCGGTAATATTTAAATTTCCTAAAATGCCCTCCATTTCATGAAAGGTACCCAAGTAAATACTACTTCGTACAGGCCTAGTTTTGTTACTAAATCGGACAACTCCACCTCCAGAAACCAAAATGAAGTCACTCCAGAACTCTCTACCGTCCTCTGTTATCGTCTCGGCTTTCACCACCTTCTTCTAGTTTCCAGTGGAACACTCTGTTTTATCTACAGTGCATCTGTATAAAACCTCGGTTCCTGTATCGAGTTCTTCTAAGATTTCGTTAAGATAAAAGTTTTAGTAAGCCCAGAACCGTTATTTCTTTCTGTGTTGTTTTGTGAATTGATAGAGTTCGGAGAATGGCGACGAGTCAAGATAAGGCTATAGGAATAGACCTTGGGACAACGTACAGTTGCGTTGGGGTGTGGCAAAACGACCGTGTAGAGATCATTCCGAACGATCAAGGCAACCGTACAACACCCTCTTACGTGGCTTTCACAGACACCGAGCGCCTGCTAGGAGATGCAGCCAAGAACCAGGTGGCTATGAACCCAGAGAACACTGTATTCGACGCTAAACGTCTCATCGGTCGTCGTTTCTCTGATTCCTCGGTTCAATCCGACATGAAACTCTGGCCGTTTAAGGTGATTCCCGGCCCCGGAGACAAGCCCACGATCGTGGTGAAATATAAAGGGGAAGAGAAGCAGTTTTCTGCGGAGGAGATTTCGTCTATGGTGTTGGCCAAGATGAAGGAAACAGCTGGGGCGTTTTTAGGTTATACTGTGAATAACGCGGTAGTAACGGTGCCTGCTTACTTCAATGATTCACAAAGGCAGGCGACGAAAGATGCGGGCGCTATTGCGGGGCTTAATGTGATGAGGATTATCAACGAGCCAACCGCGGCTGCTATAGCCTACGGGCTCGACAAGAGAGCATCAAGAACAGGGGAGCAGGAAGTTCTGATATTTGATCTGGGTGGGGGAACGTTTGATGTGTCTCTGTTAACCATCGAAGAGGGTATATTCGAAGTGAAAGCTACAGCCGGCGATACCCATCTTGGCGGCGAGGATTTTGACAATCGGCTGGTGAATCATTTCGTGGCTGAATTCCGGAGGAAGCGCAAGAAAGATATTAGCGGAAACTCGAGGGCGTTGAGGAGATTAAGGACTGCATGTGAGCGTGCTAAAAGGGCTTTGTCTTCTACCTCTCAAACGACGATTGAAATCGATTCTTTGTACGAAGGAATCGATTTTTACGCCATCATTACACGAGCGAGGTTCGAGGAACTCAACATGGATTTGTTCAGAAAGTGTATGGAGCCGGTGGAGAAGTGCATTAGGGACGCCAAGATTGACAAGAGCCTGGTCAATGAGGTCGTTCTCGTTGGTGGCTCGACGAGGATTCCCAAAATTCAGCAGATTTTGCAGGATTTTTTCAACGGGAAAGAGCTCTGTAAGAGCATAAATCCTGACGAAGCTGTGGCATATGGGGCTGCCGTTCAAGCTGCGATCCTTAGCGGAGAAGGTGACGAGAAGGTTCAGGACTTGCTTTTACTCGACGTCACGCCGCTCAGTCTCGGGCTTGAAACAGCTGGTGGCGTCATGACAGTGTTGATTCCTAGAAATACCACGATTCCCACTAAGAAAGAACAGATCTTTTCGACTTATTCTGATAACCAATCTGGTGTTTTGATCCAGGTTTACGAAGGAGAAAGAACTCGAACCAGAGATAACCATCTTCTCGGAAAATTCGAGCTCATTGGCATTCCTCCGGCGCCGAGAGGAGTACCTCAAATCAACGTCTGTTTCGACATTGATGCAAATGGGATACTTAACGTTTCCGCGGAGGACAAAACTGCTGGTGTCAAGAACAAGATTACAATCACCAACGACAAGGGGAGATTAAGCAAGGAGGAGATAGAGAGAATGGTGAAAGATGCGGAGAAGTATAAAGCAGAGGATGAAGAGACCAAAAAGAAGGTGGACGCCAAGAATGGTTTGGAGAACTATGCGTATAACATGAGGAATACTATTAGAGATGAGAAGATTGCGGATAAATTGGGCCCTGAAAAGAAGCAGAAGATCGAGAAGGCAGCGGAAGAGACGATAGAGTGGCTTGACAGGAACCAGTTGGCAGAAGTTGAGGAGCTTGAAGATAAGTTGAAGACGCTGGAAGGCGTCTGTAATCCTTTAATTGCTAAAATGTATCAGAGTGGTACTGATGTGCCGCCTATGGGAGGCTATGACATGCCTCCTGGTGGTGGCGGCGGTTCCAATACTGGTGGTGCTGGACCGAAGATTGAAGAGGTTGATTGAAGCTCGAAGCAGAAAGCCCCTGAAGAAGAAGAAGAAGAAGAAGAAGAAGAGAGCTGGCTTGTTTCTCGAAGAGGCTGCAAATGTCTATGTCTGGAGCTTAGGATCTTTGTCCTTGTTCTTTATCTTAGTCAACTCAAAACATGTTCGTACCTAGGATCTACCTATGGATATTTCCCTTGTTCTGTTCTTGTTCTTAGAGTTTTTATTTCGTTGTTTTTAAAATGATAAATCTTTTTGTTGTCGAATAATATAAGTAGTTGCACGTAGCTAGTGTAATCGGGCTTATGAACGTTGTGACCTTTTTATAAAACTATTTTACTATAAACTACGTATACAGCTATATATATATCTCTATACGTGTACGTATATACACACATATATTTACAGTGTATGCACAGGTATATACGGTCTTGCTCTCAATATGGGTTCGAACTGCATCTATGGTAGATTATGTTTTCATCTATGATAGTTGGATTATGATTGTTGTGTGTATTCTCCTCATGCTGTGGTTAATCAAATATGAAAGATTTTCTGTTCTTGTTACAATAAGTGGTAATGGAACTGTTTTTCTGTGTGTAATTTTATAATCGAATTAATTTTTATTTAAAAATTATTTATATTATATTATAATTAATAATATAATTTTTATTATTTAAAAATTTTTTATAGTGCTTTTGGACTCGGTTGCTTCGTATATGGTCCAAATGATAATATGGGCTGACCCTAAAACCCGACCCGTCTTAAGCCCAGACTCTACCCTCTCTGTCACGCGCACTCGCTAATTTCTGGTTTGTGGATAAGAAAACCTCCCTCTTTCATATGCGTGGCAGCTCCACCGCAACCTTAACGCCATGGCTGGGATAACCGGCGCTCTCCCTTTCAATCCTCTCTTCTTAAGTCCCGCCAAAACTGCGCCTACTTCATCACTCTCACTCTCCTCCTTCGAATCCAGGCTCTTCGGTTACCACCTCCGTCAAAACAACGTCGCTCCATTTGCTCTCTCCTCTTCTCTCCGCAGCTTCACAACTAGAGCTCGATACGGCGGCGGCTCTCGCTTCTCGGGGTCCGGCGACTCTAGGAGGTCACGGAAAAGCGATTCGGATGACGATCAAGTCCTCGATGTCTCCACTATTAGGTAATTCTCAATGCATTTGATTGTAGTTTGGTTATCTAGGCAAGTCGCGAGTGAATTTGAAGTATTTTTTCTTTGTGGAAATAGGTCAGATTCCGTGAGGCTCATTGATGAAAAGCAGAATATGGTTAGTGGCTTTTAGTTATCTTGCCATAGTTAATTTCCTGTTTGGTACGTAATTGGCTTTAGAATCTTAGTCCTTATTCTTGTTAGTCTGTTAATATGAGTTTTTTGGAGCATCAATTCCTTTTTCCCTTTCTCCCCTACATTCTTTTGGTCTAAGAACCTTGCAGAGGTTTTTATATGTGTTTTCTCCGGTTGAATTTGTTTCTCGTGTAGGTCGGTATTGTTTCTAAAAGTGCAGCTATACAAATGGCGGAAGATGCTGAGCTTGATCTGGTATGCGTTTTACTCCATTTCTGGTTTCTTTTATTATTACTTATTGAGATTTGTTGACTTGTTAATTATTAGCATTATTGAACTCTTTTTATTCTATTTGGTGAGAGGGGAATATTGCATTCTATGCCATTAAAATGATATGTTCACGGTTTATAGAAGTCGGCAAACTTATACGAATACTTGATCTGTGGCTTCAGCTTGTCGTGCTTTTGTATGTATTCTAAGGGAAAGTCTTTTATCTCTTGGGCCTTCAGGTTTTCCAGTTGGTTGATTGGTTATCTGCTGCTCCCTCTATTTTGTTTCTTTCAAAATTCAATGTTGATCTGCCATTTGCAATTTAAAACTGCAGTATGACATGTTCGGGGTTTGAATTTTGACGACATTCAAGTATTAATTGCTAGTATTTTCTTTTATATGGTTAGTTCCTGGAAAAATTCAGGTGAGGCATGAGAAAACAATTACTGATCAATGCTGTTAGAACAAAAGATACTGATATATTCTTAATATTAACTTTATCTTCACCTGTTAACATACTTCTAGATTAAAGAATGCACACCTTATTTTTACAGCATGGTATTTGGTTTGATATCAATACTGGTCCTAGAAGAGTCTTACAGATTTTTTTTTTTTTTTTTTTTTTGAAACTTCTTTTTCATTTCATTTGGAACTGAAGTGGTGAGAGAATGAGGGGTTTCTTGTTATTGCTTCCCTCAAGCATTTTTATCTTGGATGCTACTAAGACATTCTCCTGCTACCTTTTTTTCAGGTGATCTTATCCCCTGATGCTGATCCTCCAGTTGTCAGAATTATGAATTACAGGTATTGTGTACTTATAACAATATTTTAATAACAAATTAAAAGAAGTGTAGTTATATGCCTTTATGTTGCTAGAGAAACAGTCATCCATTTTTTATTTGCTGTGCTTTTTAAGCCTGATTGAACAAGTCTATGAAGGGTGTGTTGTTTCCTCTGTTTTTTGCATGGTTGCTATGTTATATGTCAAATCCTGGTTATAGAAACATCTGGAATATTGAGTAACAGTTCACCTCTTTTGCATAAGGCTGTTGTTTTTTAACATCAAAACCTTGCTCTAAGGTTTTTACAAGTGACAGCCTGTTATTTTCTTTTGTGATTTGAATTTCCAGCGACTCCAACCAATTGATTATGTGGTGTCTATTTCATAATTTCACCCTTGCCTTTATGTCTATTCAAACAGTCATGAGGCTGTGGCTTCTGTTAGCTATTCCCTTATGTGGAAACTCTGAACTCTGGTTGTGTTTTACATTTTATACATATCTCACTCAAGTACAAGTATGTTAGCCATTTTAGGTTCTGATTCCTTTTGATAAGTTAGTTTAATGATTTGAAATCCTTGTAAACATGTTAAGGTTTTGAACAGAAAATTTCGTCAATGCTTTTTAACACCAATTTCTTGTGAAATACTATATTTGTTTTGTGTCTTAAGAGTTTGTTTATACTTGCTTTTACATTTTTCAGCAAATACAGATATGAGCAGCAAAAGAAGAAAAAAGAACAGCAGAAAAAAAGTACTGGTGACTCTTCTCTACTAAATTTTACTTACAGGAAGTGCTAAATATGTAGCCCTTTTGGCAGGGACAGAACATTGTCTCTGCTAGGCTTCACTCTTCACCTGCAAAGAGTTCTTCGATTTGGCACTTTCCTCTTATATACTCTTTTCTTTTCGTATATTCTTAACTGTTAGAAAGAAAGGTAACTTACATGTGACCTTGCATGTCAGCCAGCCGTGTGGTTTTAAAGGAGCTCAAAATGGGGTAAGATAATTTCATTTGCTTTTCTTCATTTTGTTTCTCCTCGATTTCCATTCTCACTTTGTTAATTTTGTTTTACTCTTATGCTTATTAATAGCTGTTATTCATGCTTTCCTCTCATGTGAAGTTTCATTCTAAAGAGGTAGTGGCAGCATGGAGAAATAGAGATGGAAAAAATCTTAGTATAGAGATTATTATTATAAGTTTCTTTATATATTGTCATAATTTTATGCTATTATAGGAAATTCAGCATTAGGAATTTGACTATAACTTAGGCATTTTATTTACTGTTACTTTTATCTTCCAAATTCTGTTAAAAATGGTTTAAGTGAATCTCACGAATTGTCCCTACTTTAATTATGTTGGAGACTTGTAGAGTTCACTCCTGGTTAGATTGCTACTCTAGTTATGTCAGGGATATAATACTGAAGATATTTTTGCCAAAGTTCTGTGTTATGGTTAAAGTTGGAACTATTTACTGATACCTGAATGCTAAAAGTCTAATTGGGTCTCTTTGCTACCTAGGCTGCTATTTCGGATATTAGGATTTTGATCTTCCAACTCTCCACCAGGGATTTTATAAATATCAGGATGCTGCAAGGCTGTTTGTAGCTTTCAGCATAAAGCTTATGAAAGATGCTATAAAATGTTTACTTTGTACGAATTATACCTTTGTCACATTAGATTAATTTTGCAACTTCCATTACTTTAAAGATGCAAATTTTAACGTTTGGTTTATCATACATTTAATTTTCTACCATATCAGAAGCTAACATATCAAAACATAGTGAGTGATTATTCAGTATACTTACTGCTCTTTGAATTACTTTTGTTAATTTTGTGACAGTTACAATATCGATGAGCATGATTATTCTGTGCGTTTGAAAGCGGCACGGAAGTTTTTGAAAGATGGTGACAAGGTAGCTTATGGTATCAGAAGTTCCTGTTGCCTTTTGTATATCAACATAAATATGCAATTGTCTGCTTCTTATTTTATTGGATTTAATTGTATCAACTGGCTTCAGGTTAAAGTGATAGTGAACATGAAAGGGCGGGAAAATGAGTTCAGAAACATTGCTATTGAGCTCATTAGACGTTTCCAGAATGATATTGGGGAGGTATTCATATTCTTTAGTATTGCATATAATAAATAACAATATAAAGTTAGGTCCAAGTTCATGATGATTTGTTTCTTGATATGTTGAAGAATTGGTTTCTTATATCAAATCGCACAGTTGGCTAATGTTTGGCTGTAACTAATTCTGGGGCATCTCTGTAATGTTTTTTTTTTCCTGGAATAGGCTGGGCCATAGAAAACAATTGGTTCATAGATAGTATAACTTGCTCAAAATGCAGAAGGTTTTCCTGAGATTGCCAAAAAGCTATGGTTCTGTTTTGTATCAGAAAATTTCCTGTTTCCCTTCTTATTTGAAGGAGATTTTCCATTTTTAAAAACAAAAAAAAATTGTACATTTCGTTTAGCAAAAGAAAAATAGTTTTATCAGAAACTTTGCTTCCAATTCAGAAATCATTCTTATAAAAAAAATCCGGATCTTTTTTAATACAACACTGAAAATGTTATCTGAAACTAGAACCTCTAAAGTCTTTGATAATGATTTAATTAAGGTTTCTATTTTTCTGGTTAGTTCCAATAGTGTTTTGCAAATATTTTTTTTTGAGAAAAGATATTTTGTCTGCTAATAAACCCATAGAAAAAAGTATTGAGTATCTTTGGCTGATAAATAGAACAGTTCTGTAGTAGGGATTCATTGTTCCCTTTTTGTTTTGTTTTTGTGGACTTAGAATTGACTGAGATATCTTCTGGTTTGGTCATTTGTGCATAATTTTCCTGGGCTAAATGTGATATCAATACATGCAAATTCCTGGTTTTGTTCTGACCGAATTTTTTTATATTTTTTCACCCTAACCTGTGTATTCACCAGACTTAATATCATGCTTCTGTCTGTAGCTTGCAACTGAGGAGAGCAAAAACTTCAGGGATAGAAACTTGTTCATAGTTTTGGTTCCAAATAAAGCTGTTCTACAGAAACCTCAAGAACCACCAAAGAAAAAGAATAACGCAGCCATAAATGAAGTATCAGCAGGAGTCTGAGTGCATCAGGTAGATTAAAGAGGGCTTCTAATAGTGGAACATCTGGCAGGTGATCTCTCTTTATGCTTCTTCGATGGGGTTTTGGATCTTTAAATTCTGTATAGCCATGAGTGTATACAACCTACATATTTATCGCAGTTCTAATAACAGAAAGAGCTTTTTTAGATGTGGTAGTAGCATTTGATAGGCTGTTGGTAAGTATCACAAGCTTTTAGGTTCCTTTCTCCCTCTCAACCTTATTTTCTTAGAGTTTCCCTTTCCATTCTTGGAACTAAATTAGGATTTCATGAGGGACAAGAGACTCTGTGAGAACAAAAATTAATGTTATTATTCTTATTGTTTGACAGTATGATGTTTGTGGAGATTGAGATACCCTATTTGATGGCAAAATTCATCCTGATGAATCAAATGGGACCAACGGATTTTCCCTTTGGGATGAATGGACCAGAAGTCCAGAACATTAGGATGTTGTTCAATAATTGAGGCAATCTATATTGTGAAATGCTTAACTAATAAGTGAAAAACGTGATTTATTATTATATATTAACCCCTCATATGACCTTATGCTGAAACTAATAGTAAGAATGAAAAACTATCAAGATTTGAAACTATGCCTAGAACTCTAATATATGTTAAATAATTGATGTAGTTGATTTTCTATGAACTTAGGCTATATTTGAAACAAGCTCAGAAGATTTGTAGAATTTATTTGCAAATTTCTGTTTTAGCTCAACTAGGGGAAGATATATAATCTATTAAAATGGTAAGAAATTGTTCTCGTAGAGAATTTCATGTGCGATTAGAGCAATGTATTATAAATCCTATCAGAATTGATGGAATTTAGCATCTGTTATTTTCATTTCATTTAGAACTCCTAAGGATTTAGTTTTTGTAATTATTTTCAGGGGTTAATTTCACTATCTTCTTCTTGAAATAAACGTAGATTTGTAAATTAACTCTAAAATTTTTGATTTGTCTCCAAATGTAGCTTTAAAGTGATAGTGAAGAGCCCAATACATTATTTATGCAACAAAAATGAGAATTTTACTTGGAATTAGACGCTGAATTATGTTCGGGGAAGGGGGTTAAATGATGTTGCAAGAGGTACTTTTTCACCCTTCACATGTTGCCTGTTATTGTGATGGTTGTGCTAGAAATTAAAGTTGAATTCTCTTCAACTCTGAATAATGATAATATATGGTGATACGGAAGAAGCTGTAAACTATGCCATCGGCAGAAGACTGATAAATCAGAAAGCCGAAAATGGTGCATGTTTCAGGATATTTGCTTGTAGAGTTCAAATGGGTATATATGAGGAAGTTTGGAAAACAACACTGTCTGGAGATGGAGAGACTTTAACTTACACACCTAACGATGGGAACATCACTTGGGTTTCAAGTTCTTACATTCTAAGCATACTGCCTCACGTGTTGTTTTATTTCTTGTACAGCCATAACAACCCACCTGCAGAAAGCAAAGCTTTCAGGTTCTATGCCATTATAGGTGTTATGGCTAGCAGAATGGTCCTACTCCTGCGTAGAAACAGATTGCATGTGCTACATGGGAATTTCTACATAGATTTATTTTTCGTTCTTAACAGTTTTGTAATTAATGCATGTTACATATATATATATATATGTATATATATTTGTTTGCCAAAAGTTTTTGGAAAAGAATCAAATTTATCATCACTTATAACCATGTCTTAATATTGTTCTTCATTTGCCAGGAAACTCTTGCATATTTGCAGAGAAAAAAGTTCCGCGTTCGAATTTTAATTTCTTATATTATATTAAATAATAGATTGTATTCAAGTTTTTAAAGCTAAGATACATCGTATTTTTAGATACATACGTAGAATCAAATAAAAAAAACGAAACGTTCGGCTCAATGATAGACCTTTCATTTAATCTAATGTTACTAGGTCAGTTGTAGCAAGTAAAATCGAAGGATTAAGTACCATAAGGTATGACTCTTCGATTTATTCGGAGTTATTATATGTTTAAGGTTCAATATTGAAATCATTTATTCGGTGAATGATTTGATCAAAACATTTTTTTTTTACTATTTCGGAAACTAGTTTTTACTATTTCGGAAACTAGAGGACTCATGCAACCCGGATACTGAAAAAAACAAATGTACTCAAATAAAAAGTACTTGTATTTAAGAAATCTCTAAATCTTGTTTCTTTCATTTGGCCAAAGAGGTATTTGGATTGTTTATTTAAGAATTAGTTTTATTCATTGTATGCGATTCGATACATATTTACGTCAATTCAACCAAACAAATATGGGTATGCGCGATTAGAAAATCGTTAACCAAACAAATATAAGAAAACGTGATGAGATATACATACATATATACACGTATATATTATGATTATTTTCACTCACACACATACAAAAAAATTAAAACGGAGTACCCACCTAAAACCCTCAAGTACCCGAAAGGAAAAAAAATAGAAAAGCTTCCTCCTGAGAGTTGATTATAATGATGTAATAACACAAAAAATTACTAATAATACACCAAGAAAAGAGAAATAAAAAATGAAAAGAGCCAAGAAGGAGAAGAGAAAAACATCAAGGTGGTCGTTGAAACCTAAAAAAGTCAGGAGATAGAAGGAAGAAATATATATATATATGTGTGTATATGTATATATGGTGGTTGAAAAAAAAAAAATATTATAGGAAGGAAGCTTTACTTAAAGGCAATGGAGACTCTGCACCCAACTACACCACCCTTAACGTGGACACATTAGGTGAGAGCAGCAGATCAGATACTCATCTTCTCCTACTTCTTTCATTCATAAAACACGATCCTTCTTCTCATTTCATTCCCTCATCACTCCGTTTTTCCCACTTCCCCCCTTCAATCCGCCATGGAAGCCAGTGCTGGTTTAGTCGCTGGGTCTCACAACCGCAATGAGCTTGTCGTCATTCACAACCACGAAGAGGTAAACCACATAAGTATACGAGTAAATATACATATGCATGTATTACATATGTTACGTGGGTGTCGTGTGATTATTTTCTGAGCGTGTTTCTTTTTTGGCGGGTGGTGTAGCCCAAGCCTTTGAAGAATCTGGACGGTCAAGTTTGTGAGATATGTGGCGATGACGTTGGCTTGACGGTGGATGGGGACTTGTTTGTGGCCTGCAACGAGTGTGGTTTTCCTGTGTGCAGGCCATGTTATGAGTATGAGAGAAGGGAAGGGACTCAAATATGTCCCCAGTGCAAGACTAGGTACAAGCGTCTCAAAGGTAATGTATATATAAATCAGAAGAGATATATATATATGTGTGTGTGTGTGTGTGTGTGTGTGTGTGTGTGTGTGTGTGCGCACGTGTGTTTTCGTTTAAATGCCTGTATGTTTGAAGGTGAGATAAATTTTGTAATGTAAAGGGAGCCCACGAGTGGAGGGAGATGAAGATGAAGAGGACATTGATGATATCGAGCACGAGTTCAACATCGAAGATGAGCAGAACACGAACAAGCACCTTGCAGAAGCAATGCTTCATGGCAAGATGAGCTATGGAAGAGGCTACGATGATGATGAAAACTCTCAATTCCCACCAGTCCTAGCTGGCGGACGATCTAGACAAGTAAGAAGAAGAAGAAAAGTGGCCTTGTGTTCAAAACAAGATAAAATTGTTGCTTAATTTCTTGATTCTGATCCAACCAGAAGCTGACTCATGATTTTACATGCAATTTTTGTAGGTGAGTGGAGAATTCCCTGTTGGAAATTATGGCTATGGAGAACAAATGACGTCTTCTTCGGTTCATAAACGAGTGCACCCATATCCAGTATCTGAACCTGGTAATTTAGTAACTATCTACAGACTACAGTAATCAGAAGATAAGTAGAGAATGTTAGAGAATTACTACTTAAAGTTTAACTAAATTATTATGAAATGTTGGAAAATTAACATGATGCCTCAGAGAGATGTAGAATTTCTTGAAAAAAAATTCAATATCTTGGTACATATTTACATTGCATAACATATGAGGAACTGCAGGATGGGATGAAAAGAAAGAGGGAGGATGGAAAGAAAGAATGGATGACCGAAAGCTGCAGCAAGGGAACTTGGGACCTGAACCCGATGATTCAAATGATCCGGACATGGCGATGTAATGCCATATCTATGAC